CGGAGGGGGTGGGTGGGATGGGGCTGGGCTGGCAGGGTAGGAACCTGATTCTCCAGGCAGTGGTTCTGTCCCTGGTGCCACCCCGCAGGACAGGGACCAGCTGTCCCCAGGTGGGGCAGGGGCTAAAGTGTTACAAAATGGCAATATAAATAGACTTCTAGAAAAGAGGCTGTCTGGTGCAGTAGTCATTGCTACCGAGGCTGGGGTGCAGGGGAGGCCCCGACCCCGACCTGTCTTCCATCCAGCTGCAGGAAGGGTGTGCAGGGCTACAGAAGAAGGCCACTCTGCAGACATTCACAAGCCACCCCCACCTTGCCGGGGGGAAGCTGGATGTCAGGCAAGGTCTCAGACACCCACGTGCAGGCTGGAGGACAGGGCAGCGGCACCTTTGGCGTACAGACATGCACACTCGCACATGCACACACGCACACGTGCGCACACACACTCACACACACCTTTCATAGTGTTCTCTTGGCTCCCAGTGACCCCGCTGTTGATTTCCAGTGATGGGAGGGCTGCTGGGAAGGTGGAGTCCTGAGAGCCACACTTGCTCCCACAAGTCCCCATGTCTCTTTAAAAGTCACAGAATCAATACCGGAGTTCAGTAGTAGGGCCTCATGTCCCCAGCAAGGGCGGTGCCACGTGGAGTGTCTCCTGGCTGGGAGGAGCATGGGGCCAGCCCCCTCCTGGCCTTGGCAGGGCTGGGTGACCCAAGGGGCTCTTTGGTTCAGGGACAGGGTGCTGGGCCTCATCTGGTGCGGTTCTGGCGCATGAGGGGCACGATGCTGGCAGGCGGCCCCGCCTTGGCCAGCCAGGGGTGCTTCAGCAGCTCAGCCGCCGTGGCCCGCTGTGCGGGGTCCCGCACCAGCAGGCGGTCCAGGAAGCCCTTCAGGGATGGTGACACCTGCAAGGAGGTGGGAAAGTCAGGGCAGAGGGTCCCTGGCACCGGGCCTGAGCACCAGATCCACTGCTAACCTGCCATGGGGCCCGCAGTTCACTCTGGGCAAACGGATCTGGGGGCGGGGCAGAGAGGTCAGGTGCCTGTAGTGTGGCTCCAGAGGTGATGACAAACCCAGAGGCCCTGGGGCTCCCTTCCTCCTTCACATGGAGCTGGTGTGGGCTGAGCCTAGAGGCGACCCTCTCCCATTAGATGAGTCCGCCCCACCCCTGTGTGCATGTCTTTCCAAGAGAGGCTGGGCAGGCCCTGGACCTGGCTTCACAGTGAGTGACTGGGCCAGCCTCAGCATGCTGTGGGACGGAGGGCGCAAGGCAACGGGCCTGTGACGCCATCTCGTGGAACCTGCTTACAACCGTGGCTCGCAGGCGGTAAGCACCTTGGCAGGTGCTGGCCACATGCAATCCCGCCCACACCAGCCTGTGCTGGGGCGCCACCCTGCCTGCTGTGCATCATCTTGCTCTGCTGGTGGGTGGGGGGCCCACCTTGTGCAGGTTCTTCAGTCGAGGCGGCAGGTTGTCCCGGATCATCTTCATGGCTTTGAGGGGCGGCTCGTTGAAGTAGGGGGGTTCGCCATCTACCATCTCGATCACCATTACTCCCAGTGACCAGATGTCCACCTGGGTGGGGGCAGGGATGCAAGGCTAAGCTGCATAGGGATGGCCAGTCCCAGGGAAGACCCAGGGAGGGATAGTCCTGCTGCTGCCCCAGGCCTGGAGCATTCTCCTGGGCACCCAGTCGTCAGACCTCACACACTCCTCCTCCAGTGAGCCCTCGGAAGGGCGCAGCCCATCCATACGTATCCCCCACTTTTACAAATCCAATTTCCAGAGAACTCCCACCCCGTAGTCCATATAGCTACCAGCAGATGGGCATGGCTAAGTGGCTCAGGAACTGCCATGTGACCCATGCTGAGGCAATCAGAGTGAACCCTGGGACACCAGGAAAATGGCGGAGCTCAAAGTGGGGAGACGAGTTCCAGAACGGCCAGGGTGCCTTTGCTCCCACGGGGGAGACTGCCTGAGGGGAGGTAGCACCGAGAAGTTCCCAGCTGGGGAGGAGCAAGCCCACAGACCCCACATCCCGGTTGGCAGAGCTACCCCCAGGGACTCAACGGTGACGTGTTTTGCTAAGTCTGTGTCAGCTGAGTTTGCGTCACTCACAGGCGGTCCTGGCTCATACGTCCCCTAGCGTCACACCAGCCTCCCCTCCCAGTGAGACCTGGCTCCAGTGTGACCCTGCTCTGTGATGTGCTGTTCAGGAGCTGTTCCCAGGACGGGGTCTGGGACAAGTGAGCCTCAGGGTCACAGGCCACAGCTTGGCGCCTCAGAACCTGGCAGTGAGTGAAGCAGATCAAGGTGGACAGCTTGGAGGGGTGGGGACAATGGCTAAGACAAAGGCATCTGTCCTTTCTCAAGGACTTGCAGGAATGTGCCCCATGTGGCCAGATCTCCTGGCTTCTGAACACAGGATGTGTGAGTTCATGTTCTAAACGTCTGCAAAGGCATCCTCGGGCCAGCCCTGGGGGAAGCCTAGCCTGCCAGTCTGCGGCCTCTGCGCTGACCGTCAGGCAGGGCCCATGGCCACTGCTGCTCCGCATTCTGCTGTGGTCCCGCTGCCAAGCTCTAGGCCTGCCTCCGACAGTGCTCAGACAATCACAAACGCACGTGTGCCACTTCCTCTTCCACGAAAACAACGCTGACACCCTTTCCCTAGACTGAGCCCCACCTGGCCCCCAGCCGCCCCAGCACTCCAGCTGTTCCAGGCTGTCACGGTGTACACCCATGCTGACAGGACAACCAAGCTCCCTCTGGCTCACCTCTGGCCCATAGGGAAGGCGGGAGATGAGCTCTGGGGCCATCCAGTAGGGTGTGCCGACCAGCGACTTCCTCCGTGGCACCTCCTTGCTCACCTGGGCACAGAAACCGAAGTCTGACAGCTTCACCTGGGATGGGGCAGTGGCAGAGCAGGGTGTCAGCACAGGGGAGGGTGAGCACAGGCATGCACCTATTCAGTCCTTAGGCCTCAGACATACTAGCTCTGTCACCCAGCCTGGAGGTTAGAGCTGGGCTGCAGGGCCACACCCCGGGTAGCTCTGCCAACTGCAGGGAGCCCTTCCACCGATACCAAGGCTGGGTGGGGGTTGAGGCTGGATCTGGCTCTGCAAGCCTTGGGCTCTCAAGTCTGGGAGAACACAGCTCTGTCCCAGGGGTGTGTGTGGGTGACAGCTGCCTCTGGGATAACCAGGGCCCTGGAACCAAGAATTTATATCCTTTGGAATCCTGGGCCTGTTCAGACTCCTGAAAATATATGTGGATTGCGCCTCCCAAAACCCCAATGGGATGCACAGTGCAGACCCCAATGGGATGCACAGAACTTGGGGAGGCTCACAGGTACCCCCAGACATGTGATGGCTGTGTGCGGCCTTTCAGACTCAGTGAAAACCAGCATGCTCACTGCCACTGCTGCGAGCGCCTGGCGGGGCCTGGCTTTCCTTGGAGGAATTCAGTTCTGCATGACGGCCAAGGCCCTCTCCCACAGACAGCCATGACCCTCTGGGGTTATAAATGCAGGTTGTGGACTATGCAAGGCTCATCTCTGGCTCCAAGCTGAAAGCTTCAGTCTAAAATGCAGGCACAGGACTGTGGGGCACAACTTGCCCTGTGGCTTGCTGTCCATGCCTGCTTCCTCTGGGCCTAGGACTAGACTACAGTTTCCAGTATGCTGTGCTGTGGGCAGGGTCCCCACCCACAGGGTCTCCCACCCACCTGGACCCCTGGCGAGACTGCTCCATGAGGGACAAGTAAACCAACAACTCTGGCACTGAACTGGGGTTCAGAGCCCATCCCAACAGCACAGCACCGGAGGCCCAAGGACCCGGCCTGCCCCTCACCCTGCCGTCGTGGGTGAGCAGGATTGAGTCACTCTTGATGTCCCGGTGGATGACGCCCTGGGCGTGGAGCACGGACAAGGCCTGCAGCACAGCCAGGCACACGGCGGCGATCTGCTCCTCGTTCATCCTGCGCAGGGTGAGGGCAGCTGAGTAGATGGGGCCGCCCCAGGGATCGGAGGGGGCAGCCCTGCCTTAGGGTGGGGTCTAAGGGCCTGGGAAGACACAACCCCACACTGGGGAGTCTTGGGGGGGAACACAGACCTGTGTTAAGGAAGGGAAATCTAAGAAGGCATGACCCAATTCTGGGGGAACAAGGGGGGCACAGCGCTGCTGGCCCTGGCTCCCTGGGCCCACCCTGGGGAGCGGCAGCAGCAGTACCTGGTGTGGGTGACGATGTCGGTGAGGGCGCCACCCTCCAGGAACTCCATGACCACCCAGAGCTCGTCGCCCACCAGGTAGCTGTTGTACATCTGCACCACGTTCTCGTGCTGGTAGTCCCGCATGATCACCACCTGGGCAGATGGATGCCGCGCCCACCCTCAGACCTGACCATGGCCACCACTGCTCCCTCCGGCACGCCCACTTCCAACTCTTGCTTCTGCTAACCGGGGCCCCCTGGACTGCCCTCCCCTACTGCAAAGCCAGGAGACCTCAAAGGCAGTGGAGGCTGACGCCTCCATGCCAGGGTGCACCTGCCCCATACACACTGCATGTTGTCGGACCCCCCTGACCAGTCCTGGGCTGGTCTCTCAGTGGTCTGGCAGACCGGGCTGGAGTTGGGGGAGGAAGGCAGGGAGAGAGTGTCTAAGCACCGGGTGGAGACAAGGAGGACAAGCAGATTTCCAGCAAGGTTAGAATGTGTGCGAGTGTAGATGTGGAGGTTGATGGCGAATTCCAGGAGCACAGAAAGGCTGGGAGGTAGGGGGCTGGGGACGCAACGCCTACAGGGGACCATGTTAAGTAAGGTTCGCAGTGTGGCTGGAGCACCGTAACATGGGGGACAGAGAACAGGCTAGGGGAGCGGTGGAGGAAGTGCTGATCCCTCACAGATCCCTCTGGGGAAGGAGCTGGGAGTCTGCCTTGGTGAAAGTTCCCCAGCAAATCAGCCACCAAGAGTCAAGGAGAGAAGCTGGCCAAACCAGTGTATACATGGGGCCAGACCAAGAAGGGCCTCAAATGCCCAGCAAGGGGCCAGGACTTCATCATGAGGGCACCAGGGGCACTGCAAGGGTCTACAGAGTGGAGGGGGACGAGCAGTCTGAAGTCAGAAAGATCCCTCTAGCTGTTGTGTGGGGAACACCTAGCGGATGCTCAAGAAGAGAGCACAGGGCTACTGGAAGGCGGGGCTGACAGGCTGAGGTGGGGGCCGGGGAGGGACCAGGGCCGGGCCTGGAGATGAGGCTGGTGGGACCTCCGTAACAGGGAGCCAGAGGAGCAGGGCTAGAAGGGAGACTCCTGGGCCAGTCAGGATACGACAGGCGGCTGCAGCCTGGGACACTGAGGGGGCCGAGGGTCCCTGGGCCTAGGGCTCAGGGAGAGGCCAAGGACAGGGACAGAGACGTGGGGTCCGTGTTGTCAGGCAGAGGTAGAGGAGGGGAGAGGAACCAGCCTAGAAAGGGTATGAGGAGAAAGGAGAGGAGCCAGGCCCAGGCACCTGGGCCCTCGGCCCTGACTCCCGTGCAGGGTCAAGCCTCGCAGGATGAGGGAGGCAGGGAGGCGAGGTGAGGCAGAGCAGGGCAGGGCACCAGCTGGTGAGGCCCAGCACACCTCGTTGAAGAGCAGCTCGCGCCTCTGCTGCTTGCGCAGGTCCATCTTCTTGACGGCCACCAGCCTGCCTGAGCTGCGCACAGTGGCGATGCACACGATGCCCGTGGAGCCCTCGCCGATCTTGATGAAGTTGTCCAGGTAGGAGCGAGGGTCGCCGGGGTCCACCACCAGCTGCAGGGCAGCCCGGAACTGCTCATGCGACACTCGCTGAGGTTCCCGCTGTGGCGAGCGTGGGCCGGGTGGCCCGGGGACGGCAGGGGTGGCGGGGGCAGCAGGGGCAGCAAGGGTGCGGGCTGGAGGGGCCAGCTGGGGCTCGGAGGCGTGGGGACCCAGCACTCCAGGGCTGGGGGGGCCGCGGGCTCGGGCAGGAGGCCGGGAGGAGGAGGACTGGGGGACAGCCAGGCCGCCCGTTGATGGCCCATTAGGGGCCATGCTGTGAGGCTCCCCCTGAAACAGAAGAGACAGGCAGCTGTGAGTGGAGGGCTGGGGCCAGCTCTGCTCCCCAGCCAGGAAAGACACATGGGGAGGGGTCAGGATGAGAGATGCACAGTGGGCTGGTGGGGGCCGGAGTCGGGTAGGTACAGGGAGCCAGGGGAAAGGGGTGGTGGGGGATGGGTTACCTGGGCACCCCGGGCTGGGTGGTCCGTGTCAGCCCTCGGGTACGTGTTAAAGGGCCGCCCAGCTGCCAGCTTCGCCCCACCGGCCAGACCGGCAGGCTGGGGGGTGCCGACGTCAGGCCCGGACAGGGGGCGTTTGTCCCGGGAAGACTCCTGGGGCCCCCCTGGGCCCTCCCTGGAAGACTTGGGCCTCTTTTCTGGCCCTGCCCGCCGCCTGTCACCACCACCGCTGCCCGCCTCGCTGTGCCCTGCTGCGATCCGGCCCCGGCTGCCCGCCTTCTCGGGGCCCCCTCTAGCCCCTGCGGCCTGTTCCTCCGGAATCCCGTTCTCCTGGCGGGCCCGGGCTGGGGGTGGCGGGCTGTCTCTCCGCAGGGAGTTGGAGCGTGTCACCGACATGTTCTCAAACTCGTCCAGCAGCAGTGTGAGGGCCCCATCCTTGGCACCTTTGCTGCCCCGCACGATGGTCTGGGGTCCGGGATCCAGGGTCCAGGGCAATGGCAGGGTGGGGACCAGGCAAGGAAGAGGGGGACACAGGACGTGTATCCGACACACAGCGACAGGACAACACAACACACAGAGACAAGACAGAGACGGAATGAAGTAATGCCATGGGGTGATGATGGACTGGCAGGTGGGGGCAGGACCAGGGCAGCCCTGTTCCCCTCATCCTGCAGGAGAACTCAGCAATCTCTGTGGTCAGGTGGCTGCCCCCCTCCCTCACCTGGGCTTAGTGGCACCTCTGAAAGGCATCCCCCCTTGTTTTGCTCCTGCTCCCCAGACTAGGGGAGAGTCCTGCTCTGAGGTGGACGAGGGGGGTAGAAGCCAACCCAACCCTTAATCAGCCCTGGAGAGCTACAATTACAGGCTACTGGGCCTAGGGGCGGAGGCACTTCCTCCTCGTAGGCTCTGCTCCCTGGGAGGCTGAGAATGGGGTGCAAGGCCTGTCAGAAAGACTTGGGCCCAAGGTAGAGGGGTACAGGGGGCCGGGAAGCAAATGCAAATACAGGGGACTGGGCAGGGTCAAGTGCGTCCTGAATCCACCCAGCCTTCACCTTCCTAGGCTATCCTGTCTCCCCCTGAGTTCTGAGTCATGGCATCCAGGGCTCCCCTGCAACCCCTCTCAGCTCCAGACACGCAGACTTCCTCACCACTCCCCCAACACACCAGGCACTCTCACCTCAGGGCCTTTGCACTGGCTGTTCCCACTGCCTGAAATGTCTTTCCCCGAGTGTCCCCGTGACTCCCTCCCTCGCCCCCTTTGGTCTTTGCTCAGATCAGCCTCTTGGAGTAGCTTCTGCTGACACCAGTAGTCTAGAACACGCGGGGCAAACACTGTCAGGCAAACACCCCTCGCTCCTCCCCTGCCTTCTTTCTCTAGAACACTCGGGGCTGACAAGAAGCCCATGTCTATCTGTCCACTGGCTGGCTCTGCCCAGAGGAATGTTCCTGAGGGCAGTGACTTAAGTGCTGTTCTGTGACATTTCAACACCTAGACTGACACACAGACAGTACTCAGTACACATCCGCTGAACCAGCGAGCGAGTGAGCGAGCAGGCGAGCAAGCGGGCGAGCTGAGACCCTGGGACCTGCTGATGGGGCCTCACCCCACTACCATCAATGGCTGGCAGGCAGGGACCCAGGCCCAGGGCTGCCAGTACCCTAAAGCTAGAGCTGCCTCTCATGTGCAGAAAACACTGACCTTACCATACAGGCTACTGGCTAAGAAGCCCCTGCTGCAAGCCCCTGCTGCTGCCCCTCCTGGGCCTTGGTTGCCAACCTGGAAGCCTGGCCCTGCCCAGGGGCCCCCAAAGGCAAGGCAGACACAAGAGTCACACTCGATGTTAAGAGAAGAGGAGAAGGCTGGGAGGAGTGGGGGCTGCTGGCACAGGCAGCAACGCAGTGCCACCAATACACCTGGTATGAAGACTGAGGTGTCCCGTCTTCCTGGGGACACTGCACAGGCACGGCTCATGGCTGGTAAGCCAAGCAGGGCTGCACATCCTGAGGCACCCAAGGATGGGCACAACCTGCACTCAGGGGGCCATAGGGCCAGGCAGGGCATGGGACTGAGGTAGTTGGGCGTGTCTGCAGGCCTAGAAGAGCCAGGGCACCAGCTGGAGAGGCAGGCGGCCCCCAGCAACCGGCGGGGGTTTTTAGGGCCACCTGCCACTCAGCTAGAGCTGGTGTCACGAGGAGCCAGAAATACAGATTTGGACACAAAGCCTCCTGCTTTTAGGCAATGAGTGGCCAAGAAGTTACAGCGTTCCAAGCAGCCTGCGGGGGCGCGCAAACACCTCAGCAGGCTGTGGGCAACACCCTGCGCTGTCTCTTCCAACTGGCTGACCTCAGGCTCCTCCCTACCAGGCCCAGTTAGGGCCTGGGGAGGATGAGTCACCCGTAGGCCCGCCCTGGGGCACTGAGTCGCCCTGGGGCACTGAGTCACTGAGCTGACTGACAAGCCCACCTGGCTCTACCGCTCAGAACAAAACTGGCCTGCAGCCCTTCCAGGCCCACGGACTGCCCTTAGCCTAAAGTCCATGCTCTGAGGCTGGCTTCAGAAAGCTTGGCATGGGCACACCCTTGCCACTGGGCCAGCCTCGTCCCAGGGGATGCTGAGCGCCAGGACACACTCTTAAAATTTCAGGTGGATGTTAGGACAGGTTAAGAGCACGGGCCTTGGAAACATCTGGATTCAAACTACAACCCTGCTATTATGTTCGAGATGGCAGAGGGAGGAAAACTCCCTGAACCAAAAATCCCTCAAAATTTTACATGAGCTATGTTCACCACTTAACCCGTTTCCCCACCATCTGCCTCAATCACAGCCCATTGACCCTCAGGTGTGCCCTCCTCTTAGAAGTTGGCTGACTCCTGGCCTGGCTCAGGCTCTCCTCTGGGCTCTCTGACCCCAGCCCTGACCATTTGTCCCTATCACTGAGCAGGGGTCTGTTCCCCTACTACCATGGGAGCTCTGGAAAGGCTGATGGGCGAGTGGGTGGCACCGGGGACAGGAGGACAGAACTCAGAGCACGAAGCTCCCGGAGAGGGCGGGAGGCTGCACAGGACTGCTGGTGGGGCCATGGGGTGCAGACTGGAGTAAGTGTGGGATGTTCTTGAGACTAGAATCTAGTGGGTGGAGAGGAGGGTGACAGGCAATCACTGGGCTAAGGATGAGGGTGGAGGTTTAGGGGTATCTGTTTTGAGGTCAGTGAGGAGGTAATGGCCACAGGGGCCAATGCAGGGCTGAGGGCTGCGGCTGTTCTGTGGGGCTGGCGTGGGTCAGGGGGTAGTGGATACCAGCCTACCTTGGGGGCCCCGGGCTGGATGGAGGTGATGCAGGCAGGGTCAACCAGGGGTTTGGGCCGGCGAGCTGACTCCTCAATCAGGCTCTGCCATTGGCGGGGCAGCCCTGTGAATTTCTGCTCCTGCTGGTCGAAGCCCGTGTGCACGCGGTGCTCAAAGTTGGATGGTGCCGAGATCTCCACACGCTTCTTCCTTTTCCCAAACATGGTGCTGGGGTCTCAGCACAGGAGGCCGAGACTGGGGCTCCTCCCAGGGTCCTATGGGGTGAAAGTCAGTGGTGAGACAGCAACACTCTTCTCTGACATCCACATATGGCTCCCTCCCTTGGTCTGTAACACCGCACCCACCCCCACAGAACGCCAGGGCCTGTACCGCCCAGCCTCTACCGTGTACCGCCCTTTGCCCGGCACTCTGTGCGTGCTCAGTGAACACTTCCTTAAGGCCTAGCCACAGCCACCCCTGCTGGCCCAGCCCTGACTCTAGGCTCAAAACATCATGCACTTAAAGATACTCACTTGACCATGAGTTACTAAGCTCCTGTCACAAGTGGGACATACAAATATCCTCACTGTGACACTATCTTTAGGGTCTACAGCCTTCAGAAGGCACTTGGGATAGGACTAGGTGGGACCAGCAGGTGGTGTAGTGGTTAAGGTGCTGGATTCCCAGATGGCTGACCATGGCTTGCGTCCTGGACCCAGTGGCTTAAAAACCATGCCGGCCACTTGTGTGTGCATGCCCAAATTCCCAGGAGAAGAATGGAGAAGGAACTGCAGTGTGGCCATCCTATGATTTCTCACTTTTCCTCTGTCTCTCTAGCAAGTACACACACGTGTGGCAAAAAACTAAAAAGAGACAACAACAAAAGAACAGTACTAGGCATGGAAAAGCTGGTTTAAAAAATAAAGGAGCTGCTGGGGTCAGCCGGTAGCACGATGGTTAACAGCACCGGAATCCCACGTGGAATTAAATAAATACATCATTCTTTAAAAAATAAAATAAATAAAACAAAGGGGTGGGCCAGCAGGTGGTGTGGGGTGAAGGCGGCTGGATAATGATAATAATAAATAAAGTTAAATAATTTTTCTTTTTAATTCTCTTTCTGAACTGACCTAAAGATTAAAGGCAATACTGGGACCAGTAGGTGTGGTGGTTAAGGTGCTGGACTACCACGTGTCCAATCACTTTTCGAGGCCAGACCTGGTGGCTTGCTTTCTTTCTCTCTCTCTGGTGAGCACATGTGCCCTATAGCAAACTTAATAATAATATATAAAATAAATAATTAAAAATAAATAAAATGGGGGCCAACTGGCAGCGTGGTGGATAAGGGCACTGTATTCCCACATGGCTGACCACGGTTCAAGTCCCGCACCTGATGGCTTGCTTTTTCACTT